AAAAGTATAAAAATAAAATACTGCTTTTAAACAAACTTTGGGTCATTTCAGCATTTCATTGTTTTATAAGATGTGTATATCCAACAATAAAACTAGTAGTTGCTGCTATTTTCTGGTGGTTTCCATTTGTTCTTTTTGTTTTATTTAAGTTAGGTTATTCATTTTAATAGTATATCATATTTGACACTTAAAAGTTTATAGAAGTACATGGTACTCCCTAGCTTAGCCTTTTGCTAGGAGTATGTGCAAAAGGGACAGTTAGAAAACACTACGAAAAAAAACCCCACTGTGATAGGCTTGTTATTAAATGTGAAATTAATATTGTCCAGAAAGGAGATAGACATTCTTAGGAAAGAAATAGGCCTCTCAGGAAACTTGCCACAACTAGAACTAGCTGGAATAAATTGGTGCAGTGATTATGAAAGATTTGTTAACTGTTTGAAAGTGTGTAAAGTCACAGATATATGGGTTTATTCTTTCTCTTCTGTGGTTTTGTCATAAGATTGTAGATTTTGTGTAGATCTTAGTCGCTGCCATTTTAGAGAAGTCATGCCTATGAGCTCTTTGTAAATGCCCAATTTTTTTTTGGAAGAGCTACTTTAAAAAAAAGTGAGAATTCATTATGTTGAGGGCAAAGTACTGTGACTATGTAATACAACTTGGGGACTTTAGGCTTGAATTGCTGCAGAAGACAGCAAGACATGCTAAGTAAATTCTGACTTACGGAAATAGGAGTTGTGAATTTTCACAAGAGTACTGTATATAAGACTTAATTTGTTGACTTAGAAACCAATCTGACTTATGAACAATTGTCCTAGGATGGAAATTTTAAGTTGGGGATTCATTGTAAACCAGTCACTAAAGACTATACTATAGGATTCCATTGATAGCAGATACCTAGAGGAGGGGTGATGGGAAGTTGTTCTGGTATAGATTTTCAGTTTTTGTGTTTTGCATTACAGGGAATTGACAGTCAGGGTACTCTACCACTTGAGTTACATCTCCAGTGCCTTTTTTTTTTGTACTGGGAATCAGGCTCAGACCTTGTACTTGCCAGGCAGGTGCTGTGCCACTGAGCAATATCCCCAACTCCTCTCCAGCCCTTTTTATTTTTTGATCTTGAGAGAGATTTTTTCTGAATTGCTCAGGTTGACCTCAGACATGACCCTGTTGCCTCAGCCTCCCAAGTAGCTGGGGTTACAGTAGGCATGCACCACCAGGTTTCAGCTTTGCAGATGAACAAGTTTGTATGACGTGTGAGTGTACTTAATGAAGCTGAACTATTCACTTTAAAGTGATTGGGATAGTACGTTTTATGTTGTGTGAATTTTGCTACAATTCAAAATTAAAAAGCACAAAAGGGCAGCAGATAGGTTTGTTTACACTTGGGCAACATACTTAGAAATTGTTCCCTTTTAGGAGGTATCTAAATAGCAGCTGACATTGTCTCCCTTAAATGTTGAAAGATAAGCATGGTTCATCTAGTTTCCCCAGGTGAACCTCCAAAAATCTGAGCCCCTCTTACACTTGCCTACCCGAAGAGCTTGTTTTCCTACACTTTGCTGTCATAGTTGCACAGTTAACCAGTGCATGGTTTTCATGTGGTGCCTTCTCCTAAGTAACACAGAGCTTGATCCTTACATTCCTCATTGTAGGGCTCAACTTTTCACTTAGTTACCTTGCCCAGTTGGACTTTAAGCTGCTTGTAAGAGCATGACAGAAATGTTCAAGTATTTTAGTGGCTGAACTGGGTTCAACTTAGACTCCTAGATCTCAGGTAAGTGTGTTCCTGATTGATGTTAATTTTCCTATTTATTTTTAATTTTATTAGCACATGTTTGTAGTACATCATGATTGTACTCATCATAGAGAAGTGGCATTTGTATGCAAAATAACCTGATTAGTTTTACATACCTTCCCCACTCTTCCTTCCATATCTAAGTTCCCTTCCCATTTGCAAAAGGTCCATCTCCTTGTTGCCTATTTTGTTTGTACTTTGGGTTTCTCATATAAAAGAAACGCATCTCTATTTAACCTTGTGTGTCTGACCTAACTCACTTAACATTATGATCACAAAGTATACCTGTTTTCCTACAGATGACTCAAATTTAACCTTTATAATAGAGTAGTACTCCATTGTCTAAAAATACCACATTTTTTTTCATCCATTCATCTGTTGATGGACACAATAAGCCACTCCAAATTTAGCTGTTTAGTTGTGCTGCTATAAATGTGTATATGCACGTGTCACTATAATACGATGTCATTAAGTCTTTGGGAAGATACCCAAAAGGGAATCCGAGTTAAAGGAAATAATCTACTTTTAATTATTTAAGAAAACTCCATACTAATTTCCATAGTGATTCATAGTTTGTATAAATTGTTTTTATGTTGTTGTATTGTGTCCATAGTTTTTCCCTGCTGCTTCTCTAGCGTTTGTTTTTACTTGACTTCTTGATGAGATCCATTCTTTCTGGAGTAAGATGAAATCTCAATGTTATTATAGTTTGCATTTGTTTATTGGACAGAGATGCTGAACATTTTTCATGTGTTCACTGGCCATTTGTACTTCTGAGAAGTGTTATTCATTCCAGTAGCCCCAAATTTTTTGATTTTTTTAGGAGGGGAATTCTTTTTTATATTCTATGTATTAGTGCTCTGTCTACAGAGTAATTGGTGGGGTGGGGGCGAGGGGTGGGAGATGCGGACAGGGTCATGCTATGTAGTTCAGGCTGCCTGAACTCAGCCTTCTGCCTCAGCTTCCTAAGTGAATTTTTTTTCCCATTCTTGTAAGTTGTCTCTTCAGTCTGTTGATTGTTTTCTTTGCTGTGCACAGGCTTTTTAATTTGATACAATCCCATTTGTTGATTCCTGATGTTATTTCTTGTGCAATTCGGGTTCTATCCAGAAAACATTTGCCTGTGCCTGTGTCTTTATAAGTTTTGCCTGGTTTCTAAATTTTTTTTTTTTTTTTTGTCTTTTTCCTTTTTATCGGTACCGGGGATCAAACTCACGACTTCCTGCTTGCAAGGCAGGTGCTTATGCCGCTGAGCTAAATCTCCAGCCCCAAAGTTTTGCCTGTTTTCTAGCATGTTGTTTCTGTTTTAATGTTTATATCTTTGATCCATTTTGATTTTAGTTTAGTACATGGTGAGGGATACAGATTTCAATTGAATCTTCTGCATATGGATAGCCAGTTTTCACAGCACTATTTGTTAAAGAGGCTGTCTTTCCTCCAGTGTATATTCTTGGTCCCTTTGTCAAAGATTAGATGATGAATGTGCCTGGGGTTTCTGTATTTTCTATTCTCTTCCATCGATCCACATGAATTTCCTATTGCATAGATGTCTTGGATGGTATCAGGGTGTGAATGACACTTGAGACCTCCTATTCTTTGTGGGGAAGGGTGTATCGGAAATCAAACTCAGAACCTCATGCTTGCCAGGCAGGAGCTGCTCCACTGAGCTATATCCCCAGCCTTCTTAATACAACTTTGAACAAACATAAGGGAATGTTTTAGAAAATAAATTTAGAAATGCAGTGCAAAATCTTCTGTTGAAAAGTCTTTTTTCAGCCAGGCGTGGTGGCTCACACCTGTAATCCTAGCACTCTGGAGAGGCTGAGGCAGGAGGATTGTTGCGAGTTCGAGACCAGCCTAGGCCACAAATGACTCAGGCCAGCCTGAACTGCACAGCAAGACCCTGTCACGAAAAGACAAAAAAAAAAGAAAGAAAGAAAGAAAGAAAGAAAAGTCTTTTTTGTAGTAGTCACAAAATGCCAGTGTTTTCTGTTCTGCATCAGATATCTTTTTGGATCTCTTGTCTGCCACGGAAGGTAGGAAACCGGGTAATTGATAAAAGAATCCATACCTAATGTGACCAGTAGGCTTATTGTGATTAAATTTATCCCTGTCAACTGTTGTTAGTGTGAGCTCAGTACCGTGCTGGAAATAGAACTCAAAACCTTGAGCATGCTAGGCAAGTACTATACCACTGAATTACACCTCCAGTCTTCCCTTGTCTAAATATAGAATCTAACTGATGATTATTTAGCTCAGTGGAGTAAGCACTTGCCTGGCAAGAGTGAGGTTGTGAGTTCAATCCTCAGTACCAAAAAAAAAAAAATTTTTTTTTTTAAAGCCAGTCAAATTTAGCAGTGGGGGGTGGTATACCAACTTTAGTGACACTAATGTTAAGAAGTTCTGATAACCCACTGCCATCGGACCAGCCAAAAAAAAATCTTAATTGATGAGTGTGTCTGTGCATGTGTGTGTGAGAGAGAGAGAGAAACTAGGAATTGAACTTAGGCCACTGGACTGCAAGACAAAGATTGGCCGTGTACCAGTTATTAACTGTGGAGCAATGTTGATCTCAGGGTCCTGGGAATGGTAAGAAAGTGACCTATGACTGAACTACACCACCCTGACTAATGGCTAACATTTGTTGACTATGTAACTGTTGTATATTTTATTCTCAGAATAATAGCTACATTATACAGATGAGGAAACTGAAACACACAGAGAAGTTAAATTCCAATATCTCATAGTTATCATGTATTGAGAAAATGAAATTTATTTCTCTTTTCCTCTCTCTCTCCCTCTTCATCTCTGTCTCTCTCACTCTCCCAGCCTCCCTCCATTTTCTTTTTTTGGTACAGAAGCCTGAACGCAAAACTTTTGCCCTGAACTACATCCCCACTCCTTTTTTGCATTCATTCATTCATTCATTCATTCATGTACCTTTTTTTGAGGCAGGGTGTGCTGTGTAGTTCAGGATGGCCTTGGACTCACTGTGTATCCCAAGCTGGCCTCAAGCACAGCATTCCTCCTGCCTCAGCCTCCCAAATACTGGGACTACAGGTATGGACAAAGTAATTTGATGAAGTTTCAAGTTTTTCCTTAGTGCTGGATTTTCTGTCTGTCTGTCTGTCTGTCTGTCTGTCTCTCTCTCTTTCTCCCTCCCTCCCTTCCTCTCTCTCTCTCTCCCTCTCCTTCTCCCTCTCCCTCTTCCTCTTCCTCTTCCTTCCTCTGTCTCACCTCTTATCCCTCTCTCTCTCTCTCTCCCCTCCCCTTCTGGGGCTTGAACTCAGGGCCCAGAATTTGCTGGGTGAGTACCACTGAACTATATTGCTATTTTTTTTTTAAACTTTGAGAAATGTTCTTGCTAAATTGACCAGGCTGGACTGGAACTTTCTGTCCTCCTGCCACAGCCTGCCTCAGTCCTAGAAGTACAGGCATGCACTATCATACCCAGGTAGGAGAGGAAAATTTCTATCTACCAGTCTGGTAATATTCACATAATATTAGATAGGAAGAAATACTACCTAAATTTTTAAAAAGTTTTTTATTTTAAAGAGAATAAGACCAACAACATAAAACAATAAAGCCAATCAAAACACAACAGTGTAAGTGATACAGAATTTCAAAACAAGATAATAGAAGCTCAGTGATGGCTACTGTAATACCTCTTGTCCTCAAAATAGCTGCCCATACCATCAGACACAGTAAAACCAAACAAAATAGAATAGAATAGAACCAATTAAAAAAAAATAGATGCAATACAGGACTTCAAAACAAGATAATAGTAAATCCAAAGTGGCTACCATAATATATGTTGTTATCTTTGAAATAGCTGCCCATGCCATCAGATACAATAAAATTAAACAAGACAAAACATAATAAAACCAAGCCAAGCAAAACAATGAAAATAATACAGGACTTTAAATCAAGATAATAGGGAATTATCAATGTATGTCACCTTCAGAAAGAGATTCTGCATAGATGCTATGTTGCATTTTGTTATCCTCTAAATAGATGATATTATCAGCTTTAGGCCTGCAAAGTCAATGAAACACTAAACACTACAAGCATTAAGTTGTACTTTACTGTAATAGCTATTATTTTAGCCTGTGATTTTCCAGATCAGCCTGTTGCTTTGGCTGGGCAGGGGTGGGGGGTTTTGACCTTGGCTGACATCTGATTCTCCTTGCTGCCGCCCACACGTGGTGCTGGCTCATAGAAAGGAGCCAGCTTCTTGTTCTCCTCCCTAAATTCTTTATTAAGTGTTTTTTCATTTGTAGGAAAAACAAACCCAACTCAAATAAAATGGTGTAAATAAAATGAGAAATTTTCCAGGCACAGTGGCACACACTTGTAATCCCTGCACTCAGGAGGCTGAGGCAGGAGAATTGCCATGAGTTTGAGGCCAGCCTGGGCTACTTAGTGAACTGAAGGGTACATGAAGTACAGTGAGATCCTGTCTCAAAGCCACAAGAACAACAACAAAAATCAAATGAGAAATTTATAGTTCACATAACTGGAAGAAAGGCATTAGTCATAGTTGAGTCAACTCTGCTTTTTTTTATTTGGCCTTATTTTCAGAAGATTTTCATAAATATTGGCTGTTATGTCCCCAGGTATCTTAAACCTGACTTACGTGTTGTTTTGTTTTAAGAGTTTGCGAAAGAGGGAGAGATCTTCTCTTGAAGTGTCTGTGTCATATCCTAAAAAGATCAGCTCTACTTGATATGCTGTCATTTCCTAAAAAGACCAGTTCAACTTTAGTTGTTCTTTTTGGGGATAGGATCTTAAAATGTGGCTCCATTCCTGTGTATAAAGTGGCTCATCTACCAGGTGAGCCATTCTGAGCCCTGTGTCTGCTTCAATGGGAGAGGAACAGCTGTGCCAGAGAAGGAGTATGTACTTACCCAACTGGGAAACCGGGAAAATAACTGGGAAGAATAAAGCAGAAAATAGTTGGGAACCATTTTAGCAGTTTAGGTGGAACTTCTGCTCTTTGTTCAGTATGTCTTTTCTCAATTTGAAGGTCGACTACTTTAGGACTGTGAATATACCTCAGTGGTAGAGTGCTTGCCTAGCATGTGTGAGATCTTGGGTTCCATCTCCAGCATTGCAAAAACATAAACAGCAATGAACAATTTAAAAATATTACAGTTTTCAGCTATTACTGTATAACTGAGATAAAGACCTGGGCAGTATGGTATGCATTTATAATCCTAGCTACTTGAGAGGCTGAGGTAAGAAAATCCCTTAACCCAGGAGAGCAGCTTGGGTAATATAGTGACATACCTCGCTCTCTCAGAAAAAAAAAAAAAATCAGAGCAGGAAAATTTAAGTAGCTTTGCAAACTGCTATATAATTTAGTTTTAATGATTTGCTTTATTGTTAATAGTTAATGATGATGCAACCACTAAATTTTTCTCATGTCCTGCAGTTTTCTTTAATTCTTTTTCTTTCGTAGTATGATGAAGATGTTAACTCCTTAATAGACTGGTTACATAGAAAATAAGTAGGGGTTTCAGAGGAAATCAGTTATATGAAGTACAATAATCCAAATACTTTAAAAATTATGATGAGTGTCAGGCATGATGGCGCATGCCTGTAATCTCAGCACTTAGGAGGCTGAGGCAGGAAGATCATTGTAAGTTTTGAGACCAGCCTGGGTTATAAAGTGAACTCGAGGCCAGCCTGAACTACATAACGAGACCCTGTCTCAAAAAGACCAAAAGCGAGCCAGGGGTTTAGCTCAGCAGCACAAGCGCCTGCCTGGCAAGCACAAGGTTGTGAGTTTGATACCTAGTACCAAAAAAAAAAAAAAAAAAAAAAAAGACCAAAAAATTATAATATGTATTTCTTTATTAACACATTAAATGACAAGAACTAGCGGCGAGCCTAGTATTATAATTTTGAAATAGTAATAGATATAAATAGATTTTGAGGCCGGGGTATAGCTCAGTGGCACAGTACCTGCCTGGCAAATGTGAGGTCATGAGCTCAATTCCCAGCACACACAAAAATATATATAATATATATTTTTATATTTGAGATAACTGTAGTAGCTGTAATAGGATATAAAATGTAATTTCAAATAAGATTCGTAGGTGCTATTAATCTGATTTTTTTCTGCCTAAGTTCATAAATTAGGAAAATACTAAATTTTCACCAAAAAATTAGTGAAACTCTTCAGTTAAAAGATCCTTTAAGTCAAAAACTTTTAATTTAAGGAATAGCACATGTTTTGATTCCTTCTGCTTCCTTTGATCAAGGTCACTTTAGTTCCTCAAAAGCTTGAATTGAGATTTATCTTTTTAAAAAAGAACTTATGTTTAATTCACAGTTGTCCCATCATATGTCCCATCATTTATATCCCATAAATGATATTTATGAATCAGATTCATCCATAAGCAGTCACGCCCAAGAGTAGTACAAGTCTGTGATATATGCCAATATTTAAGGTTAGAAACTTATTAGGTCTGTCTTCTAGTAACTGTCTTGCAGTTCCTTTCCACAGATCTAACAGATAGTCCTTGGAGTAAAGAGTAAAGCAGAATGACAGTATTTCTTTATGAGGCATTTCCAGTGATGTTCAGCTAGAATACACTTTGGAGGTCTGTGAACCTCAAGTAAAGATATCTTTCTCAGGCTCTGTATAGGTAACCAGCCCTGTACTCTACTTCCAGAGAAGAATGCCCTTATGGTCTTGGGTTTCTGAGAAGCACCTAGTTGGGCTATCATTGTGCTGCCACCATTTTTGAGGTAAACCATCTATTTTCCCTGAATCCTTGATGTCACATATTAACCTTGACCTCCTAGTCTGAATTTCTGTGGTCATGACTACCTCTGATACACATTTGTGTATTAGTCAGCTTTTCACTGCCCGGACAAAATGCCTTACATACATACAATTTAAAAGAGGTAATAGTTTATTTTCCCACACAGTTTCAGAGGTTTCAGTCCATGGTTGACTCCCAGGCAGAGACATCATGGCAGATTAAACCTGTTTACTTCATGGTGGCTAGAAGTGGAAAGCAGTGAAAAAAACAGAAAAGAAAGGACCAGGAACCAGTATAGTCCCCCAAGGGCCTGAAATCATGATCCACCCAGACATTTAGAAGTGTGCTTTACTAACTTCCAAAACAGCTCTCAAGCCAGTCAAATTGACAAGATTAACCATCACATTGCACTCCTTGTCAACTTTACACCAAAGCACATCACTTTAAACCATAATTTATCTCCAAACAGAGATAATAACAAGCTCATAATTCTATCTAGTATGATATAACTATCCTGTACATAAAATGTACTCATACAGAATCTCAAAGTCCTAGCATTGCCCAAATGTCCAAATCCAAAGTATCCTCTGAATTGTCAAGGCACACATTAGCTGTGAGCTCCTGTAAAATTCAAAATTCAGGTTACATATTCCCGATATAATGGCATGGAGTAAACATGCCTGTTCTAAAGGAGGAATAGGATGTGATGGCACAGGCCTTCCAGCACTTAGGAGGCTGAGGTAGGAGGACTGCCATGAGTTTGAGGCCAACCTGGGCTACATAGTGAGTTCAAGGCCAGCATGAACTGCATAGTGGGACACTGTCTCAAATAAAAGGAATGAGAGTATAGAAAGGAATAAGACCAAAGCAATACTTAAATCCAGCAAAGGAAATCCTAAGTCTTGTAGCTCCATGTCCAGCATCCAGGCACATCATGGCAGGATATGAACTCCAAATACTTGGGAAGCCCCTTTGCTTTGGCTTTGCTGGTTGAAGCCCTCGTGGCCTTCCTCTTGGCTGGCTCTACTCACCGTTTGTGACTGTCAAGGATTGGTATTTTGTGTTCCTGGCGTCTCCAATTTTCTGAGGTCCCCACTGCAGCTTCAGCTTCATTCTGAAAGCTTCATGCATTGTCCTCTCCTGGGCTTCTGGCAGGGACCCCAACCTTGTCAAACATTCTTTGGCTTTCTAGGCCTTCCTTTGAAATCTGAGTGGTAACCTCTGTGACCCCATGACTTTGCATTCTGTATGCCTGCAACACTGGCATCATATAGATGATGTCAATTTCTACTATCAGTGTATGTAGTAGCTACTTCCAAGGATCATTGCTGTGTGGTTCAGGCTGGCCTTGAACTCACAATAATTTGCCTCATACTACTGAGTGCTGAGATTATAGGCTTATACTGTCATGCTTGGCTTCTTATAATTTTAAGTATCATGTAATAAAATTAAGTTTAAAAAGATACAAAAAGAAAATAAGATTACTAAAGTAGAAAAGAGGCAGTCTCTAACCAATGACTTTTAAAAAAGTATTTTGTATCTTTATTGAAATTTGATTGGTTGATATGTGGTACTAGGAACTGAATCCAGGGTATCATGCATGCTAGATAAGCACACTACCACTGAGCTATACACTTTGCCCTTAACCAGTGACTTTTGCTTGAGCAGATCTCTTAAATTAATAAAGTCAAGAGAGAATAGCAAATATTCTTATACTCATTGCCTTTAATTACTGTTAAGTGCTATCTGTTAGTGGCTAGGTGTGGCACAGCATGTTTGTAATCTCAACACTCAGAGAGGCTGAGGCAGGAGGACCTTGAGTTTGTGCCTAGCATAGACAATTTAGGGATTTAGCAAGAACTCTGTCTCAAAAAAAAAGTAATATTAAGAGAAAACAAAAAATAGCAAGTGGATTCTTAGTGTTTCGTTTGTTTGTTTGTTTTGAGACAGGGTCTCACCATGCAGTTCAGGCTGGCCTTGAACTAACTTTGTAGCCCGGGCGGGTCTCTCTCACAGTGATCCTCCTGCCTCCCCTTCCCCAGTGCTGGGATTATAGGCATGTGTCACCATGCCCAGCTAGTTGTTTATCTTTTACAGAGACTGTAAAAAGTGTGTTTAAAGGCATAGAAAGAGGTAATACTTGAATAATTTTGAATAATCGTTTATTTTGTTAGCTTATAGCTAAAAATTTACCCATAGTGTATATGAGTTTCTATTTTTGGTCAGTATCTTGCATTTTGTCTGTGTTGAAAAATTGCAGAGGACAACTAGAAGAGTTGCTTAATGTGTTGGATGTTTAATATAGACAAATGTAAAGTCTTTGATTTATACATACTACTTAACGCATTACGTCTTATGTCAAAAACTAGGACATAGAGAAACTGGCATTCAGGTAATCTCTGCACTTAGGAATCTGAGGTAGGAGGATCCCTGTGAATTTAAGGCCACCCTGCACTATATAGTTCAAGACCAGCCTGAATTGCCTAGTGAGACTCTGTCTCAGAAAACCAAAAGATTAAAAAAGAACAGAGAATATTAACTTGAAAGTTCTGGATGTGTATTTATAAAACTTAGAAACAAGTAAACTTTCTTCTGTGGAAGTATCAATAATTAATTGTTATGTTGGTGGTATTGGGAATTAAATCCAGCTTTGCCCTTACACGAATACAGTACGGCTGGGCCATACTCCCAGCCAAACTTTTTATTTATTGATTGATTGATGAACAGTTAAGCATAATATTCCAGAGCCATAAACATGTTTATTTACTTTAGTTGTCCGAACAATTTTTTTGAGGCAGATATTTCAAAGGACATTAAAGACTTCAAAGTCAAATCCTTTTTTAGCTTTTTTTCCTTTCACTAGTAAACAATGAAAACAGCAGTAAAATGATTAATTGTGGTATTGTATTTGAACATTGAAGTGATTAATACAATTCTGTAACTGTGTATAAAAGAATTTACAGGGCTGGGGATTTAGCTCAGCAGCATAAGCGCCTGCCTTGCAAGTGTGTGGTCGTGAGTTCGATCCCTGGTACCAAAAAAAAAAAAAAGAATTTACAAAAAATGTTTTAAAAAGTAGAATACATGCTCTATCTCAGTTGTAATAAAGTTCTGTCTACATGTTAATGAAATTTTAAAGTCACTTAAAGCTAGTGAAAACCATTTTTTAGGGTAATATTATAGTGAAATTTAAACATTTAAATTTTATGATCAAGAATGATAATCAGAAATGTCTTGGGAGTTTATTTCTTTTTTTTTTTTTTTTTGTCTTTTTCATTTTTATCGGTACCAGGGATCGAATTCACGACTGCCTGCTTGCAAGGCAGGCGCTTATGCCGCTGAGCTAAATCCCCAGCCCCGGGAGTTTATTTCATTGCAACCTTAATAATAAGTAGTTGTGCTCGCTTCAACACCACATATACCAATAATAGTAACTGTCTTTCCTGTGAAAAGAGGGAAATGTGGATGTGATGTTCACTTACACTGTTGACTGAGTGGTATTCAGACCATTATAGCCCCAGCAAGTCAGGTCATGTTTAGAACATAATTTTCAGTTCTAGGTTTTTTGTTGTTGCTTTGTTTTGTTTTTGTTTCTTTGAGACAGTTTCACAGTTCAGGCTGACCTTTAATTTAACTCACAGCAATGCTCCTGCCTCAACCTCCTAAGTGCTGGGATTACAGATGTGCGCCACCATGCCCAGCTCTCAGTTTGGTATTTAAGAACGGAATTGGTAAATGAATTATAGAAGCGAATTTGGAATTCATACAGGTTTAGAGACCTGTAAAGAGATTAGTGAGAAAAGGAGCCGGAAGAGAGAAGAGAAAAAAGCAGAACCGGTAACAAAGTTGCCATATTGCAGTGTCAGCTGGGAAATGAGAATGCATTGGTTTTCCATAGCTGCATTGGGCAGTATTGAAAACACGGGTGAAGACAGAGAGGTACATTTTACCTCTTTAGGGTCACTCTGCATTAAATGAGCTGTCTTCATTAATTACCAAGCATATTTATTAAAAACAGTACATCAATAAAAGCATGTTTATTAAAAATGGACCAAGGCTTAGACAGTACCAAATGGGACATCATGGAGGAGTGAACTGTGATTTGGAGAGGAGCCAGTAGGTGAGCAGCTGACTTCAGGACAGTTGAGATACTGAAATGGGATGAGAGAGTAGGATGAGAGTGATCAAGTGGTGTTAGCAGTGGGCCACAGAGTTGTGAGTGTAATGGGTGATAGCAACTGACATCAGGTAGGCCGGACAACAGGAAATGGCCCCACTGAATAGCCAGAGAAGGTAGATAAGTGTGCGCCCCTGAGACAGATACAGGTTCTAGGTCTTTACTAAATATATCAGTATTAAGAAACAAATTATTTGAAGAGTAAAGAGACTAGTCAGGATCATCCAAAATATTGACTTAATTACAGTCAGTTAATAACTGATTATCATACATACTTTTTTTTCTTTATTCCTTCCATTGTGGAAAAGCAGGACCAAGCCAGACGGAAGACATTTAACACCGAGGAATTTGGAAGGCAGATAGCTTTATTGTGCCAGCAGACATGGGAATCTCAGCTCCAAATTACTTGGGGTTAATAAAACACTTATATATGTTGTTAACAGAAAACAATACAAAAAACGAGCAGGAAGTACTAAGAAGGCTGAGTATAGAAGGGCTTTCTATATAGTTGGTTACATATTGTCATACATTGCTAGGCAGGTTTGGTTCAGGCAGGTTAACTGGGAGTTCGCTATTCTATAGTAGGAAGGTCGGGGTTAAGGTGAGTAAGAGCAACTAATCACTGTCTTAGACTGCACTAAGCTGATTCTAAGTGATATCTCCCTGAAACCTTGAAATGGGTTAACATAACAAGAGGCACTTTTGTCTAAGTTACAGTTGGTTATATATTGCAGCCAGTGTTGAATGCCAGGGCTAGCTGAGTTTTACCATTCTTTAATTACGGAAATAAGCTGCGCCTGCCTTTTCTCATCTTTGAATATAGTGACTGACTTGTAAGTTTTAAAAGTTCTAAAATTTCCTTTACAATTGCCCAGTGTGGTGGCCCTTGCCTGTAAACTCAGCACTCAGGAGGGAGGCTGAGGCAGGAGGATCACTGCGAGTTAGAGATCAGCCTGTGCTACAAAGTGAGCTCAAAGCCAGCCTGAACTGCACAGCAAGACCCTGTCTCAAAAAGATTAAATAAGTAAATAAATAAAATACAATTTCCTTAACATTTACAATCTTCTTTACACTCTTTTCTTGCTTGCTTACTTTGTCTTTTTTTTTTTTTTTTTTTTTTTGTCTTTTTCTATTTTATCAGTACTGGGGATCAAACTCACGACTGCCTGCTTGGAAGACGGGTGCTTATGCCTCTGAGCTAACTCCCTAGCCCCCTTACTTGCTTTCTTTCAACATAGGGTCTTGATATATAGCAGAGCCTGGCCTTGAACTCCTTGCGTTTCCCAGGCTGGCCTCAAACTCACCATAATCTTCCGGCCTTCACCTCCCCAGTAGTAGGATTACAAGCTTGCATCATCACACCTGGACAGGAGGCTGACCAGCTAGCCAGCCTGGCTGCCTGCTTGCTTGGTTGGTTTCTAATTTGTTGGGGGTTTTTTTGTTTGTTATTTTGAGATATGGGCTCACTAAATTGCCCACACTGGCCTTAAATTTATGATCCTCCTGCCTCAGCCTCTCAAGTAGCTGGGATTATAGGTGTTTGTCACTTTGCCCAGCAACCCAATAGTTATTCTTTTAATATCAAATATCCACTCTTCAAATTTTCAGTTTTTTTATTTTAAGAATTGTCTGTAGGCTTTTTTAAAATGAAGATCCAGTGCTCACTTCAGCAGCACATATACTCAAATTGGAACAATACATAGAAAATTAGCATGGCCCTTGCACAAGGATGATGGGCAAATTCATAAAGCAGTCCATATTTTTAAAAAACTAAAATTCAAATAAGCCTGTATAGTACAGTTGGTTGACATCACTTTTAAATTTATTTAATCTCTATTTTCCCCTCCATCTCTCTTTTTTGTCCTTACATTTCATTTGTTGAAGAGAGACACTTGTTTGTCTCTTGGCTTCCCATTACCTAAGTTAGCCACCCCAGAGGTGTCATTTAACACATTCCCCAGTCCCTTGCTGTCCTGTGAAATGGAGGTTGGATCCAGTTACCATTCAGGCACAGATGACACTTTTCTCTCAGATACCTTTTAAGACCTCTTGGGTTCTGTGTTTTCACTAAAGTTTAATATTTTACCATGTATTATTTGTGCTGCTTCCTATGTCTGAAAGAACAGTGTCCAGACTGCCTGCCTCCTTTCCCTTTTCACATACCATTTTTGTCTTGGCTTCTGTTCCCCTTCCCTTCTCCTTTCAATAAATGATGGAGAACCAGGCATGGTGGTACATGCCTGTAATCTCAGAAGACAGAGGCAGGAGGATCAATGGGTGTTCAAGACAAGCCTAGGCTGCCAAGTGAGCTCAAGTCTAATGAGACCCTGTCTCAAAAAGACACACACACACACGCGATGGAATGACCAAGTGGGGTGGCAAACACCTGTAATCCCAGCACTTGGAGGCTGAGGCAAAAGGATTGCAGTGAGTTCAAGGCTATCTGGGGTTACATAAGCAAGTTTCAAGGCCCGCTTGGGCTATATAGCAAGACTCTAGCTTTAAAAAACAAAGCCAAAAATAAAAAGAAAAAGGACCGACCAATCATGTAATATGAACTACCTGAAGTTAAATGAGAATTTTATTTATTTACTTATTGAGACAGAGTGTTGGTATGTAGCCCAGGCTATGCTTGAACTTGCTTAGTTAGTCCGTGCTGACCTCAAACTCACAGCTCACAGTGATCCTCCTGCCTCAGCCTCCTGAATGCTGGGATTACAGACACCCACCACCATGCCTGGCTCTAAATGAGAATTTTAAAATACTAGATTATCAATATACAAGGAGTCAGTGGAATAAAATTAGGAGATATGAAACATAAACATATTAGGTGCTTATCTTCCAGAGTATGAGGTTGGAGAATTGCTCAGAGTCACCGACCCAGTGAATCTCTACAGTAAGATGGAAGAATTTTGTTTTTATCAAGTTGTAGTGTCCCATATTTGTATGCCCAGCTTTCAACTTAAGAGGCTGAGGTGTGAGGATCAGTTGAGCCCGAGAATTTGAGACCAGCCTGAACAAAATAGTAGATTCTGCTCAAAAACAAAACATAAACTTTTAAAGAAGTTTTTATTAAGTTCTTGTCGGTGTTGTGATTTTTTTTTCTCTAGATCTCTGAATTTGGGTTCTGGCTGTCTTACAATGAGTGACACTTTGCCATTAGATGTCATTGGTCGAAGAGTTGAAGTTAATGGAGAATTTGCAACTGTGCTTTTTTCTGGCATTGTCCCTCCTGTGGCAGGTAAGTGTGTGTATTGTGTGAATTTTGCAATTGTTTCTGTGTAGGCTTCTCAGTAGTGCCTATTTAGTACTGGAGTTTGAACCCAGAGCCAAATACACTGACATTGAACTACAACCCAGCCTCTGTGTGTGTGTGTGTGTGTGTGTGTGTGTGTGTGTGTGTGTGTGTGTGTGTTTTACTGGGAATTGAACCCAGGTCTGTTGCACTGAATTACATCAACAGAGCCCTGTTGTTGTTTTTCTTTGTTTATTTGCTTGTTTTTTGAGACAGACTCTTACTATAAAATTGCCTTTGCTGGAGCTGAGCATCTAGCTCAGCAGCTCAAGCACTTGCCTGGTAAGCATGGGGTCATGAGTTATCCCCAGTTTTTAAAAAAAAAAATTTACCCTTGGTGGGCTCCATCTCAGCCTCCAGAATGCTGGGATTATAGCTGTATGCTACCACATCTGACTTTTTTGGTTTTTGAGACAAAAGTCTTGCTGTGTAACCCATTGTGGTCTCATACTCATATCTAGCTCAGGCTGGGCTAGTTACCACAGTCCTCCTCCTCAATGCTGGGATTACAGGGATGTGCCATTATGCCTGTTGCCAGTCCTTTGTAAAATGTTTGAGACAGGGTCTTGCTAAGTTGTCCAGGCTGGCTTGGAACCTGTGATCCTCCTATCTGCCTCCTGAATTGCTAGGAATTTAGGCAGAGATGACCATTCTCAGCTCACTAGTGCTTTAAATTACCAATCATAGGGGTTGGGGATTTAGCTCAGTGGCATAAGCACCTGCCTTGCAAGTACACAGTCATGAGTTCAATCCCCAGTACCAATAGATAAATAAGTAAATAAAAGTTACCAATCATGAGGAAATTGAAAAGCCAATCTGCAGATATCTCCTGTATATGGTAGTTTTATTTGGATTGCAATGTTCTGTGCTATACATGATTTTGCTTAATTTTATGTTACTTATTTGGTGTTTCTATTTTATAGTAAATCAGCCTTAAACATCTTCTGAGTAAACTTTAAACAACCATAAGTCTTAAATTCTCACACTCTCAACTCAAAACCTAAATAAGTTTTACAGTGTGTAGTGGTGGGCTTCTGTAATCCTAGCTACTCAGGAGGCTGACATGAGAGGATCCCAAATTTGAGGCCAGCTAGGGCAGCTTGGCAAGACACTGTTTCTTTTTTTTTTTTTTTTTTTTTTTTTTTTGTCTTTTTCATTTTTATCAGTACCAGGGATTGAACTCACGACCGCCTGCTTGCAAGGCAGGCGCTTATGCCGCTGAGCTAAATCCCCAGCCCCAAGACACTGTTTCAAAATGAAATAAAAGACAAAAAAAATCCAAAAAAACTAATTTAAAAAACTCTCTATCAGTTCATATTTGCATATATTTAGTATAGTATAAATTCATAATACATGCAATATTTTACCTTTTTTCAAGTAAGCATATATTTATCTGTGTTTTTGTAACATTTTACTTGGGTTTCTGAGAGGTTAATATAGCACAGTTTAACCATTTCTCATTTTGGACATTAATTTGTAGTTTTTTACTTTTGGAATAACAGTATAGTTAACTTACTCATATGTCTGAGTCAATGAGTTTTTCAATATTTTCTGTAAGGTACTGTGCTTAGTATATACAGAGGGACTCAGGTATGGTCTTAGGCTATAGGTGCTCAGTGTGTGGCTCCTGGCCAGGGTCAACATTACGTGGTTAGAAACATGTATTTTTGGCCATTCATCCAGATCTACTGAATCAGACAGTCTGGGAGTGGGGCCCAGCAATTTGTGTTTTCAGAAGCCCTCCAGAGCGGGGGCATAATTCAATGCAAGAACACCTGTCTACTTGTCTATTTGTCCCTGGTTTAGCTCCCTAGCATTCACTGAGGGAAGGGGTCAGGGAGTGTGGGGGAGAACCACCACGCTGCTAAAAAAAAGCAACTCTGCCTTCACAGAGGTCACTAAAAGTCCTTCGCAGGTATATACTGTCATATAGAGAGGTCCCACCCCCTCACATCCCCATTTGAGTGGAATTATTTGCAAATGGAAAGAGAAAGGAATAATGGTGTGTGCCAGGTCCCGCCCTATGTCATTCCCTGTCGCTCCTTTTCTCTCCCTCCCTTCCTTCCATTAAAACCTAAGACCTTTGGACTGCGCTACATTCCCGCCCTTTTTTATTTTTATTTTTTTTGAGATAGGGTCTTGCTGAGTTGCTAAGTTTCCCAGTCTGGGTTCACACTTACAGTCCTCTTGGCTTAGCCTCTCTTAGTGCTGAGGTCACAGGTGCACACCACTATACCCAGCACTAGGTACTGCTACTTTCATGAATGGTCTCTTCTTTGAATACTACAGAAAAAAACCCAGCATACAGGTGTTACTAGCCTGTGTCTCTTCTCTGTCTCTTTGTCTTTTTTGTGTTACTGAGGATTAACTCAGAGCTTTGCACACTGGGCATGTACTCTGTCACTGGGCTACATCCCTAGGCCAGGTTCAGGTATATAAATGAGCAGACCAGGTCTCAAATCTCAAAGCTTCTAGAAAGCAGAGTAGGGATTTGACTGTATGCCACAGAGCCCTTTCTGTTCTGTTGCTGCTCAAGAAAATAATCTGCACAGATTCTAGAAAAACACTGCCATATTGCCATCTGTGAGTGGTTTATCGATATGCAGTACTTGGAAATTTTCCATCTCCCAAGTTCCTTGAGAAACAGACCAGAGTAGAGATTTACATTTAGGATGTTTAATGTTCATAAAGTTCATTAAAAAGTACTTCAGGCCCAATATATAGAGCAGAAAAGGGGAGGAGGAAGGATTGGACAGAGGGAAAAGGTGGGCTGTGGTGGTTTCAACAAGGTTTTCCCCTTGGAAACTCTTGAGATGTGATGTCCCCCAGAGTCTCTCCTCAGTGAGATGGACTTGGTCTTCATATCTTTATGGTGATCTGTCATGAGTCTGGCAATGCTGGGGAGAGGAGTAGTCTTGGTAAGGTACTCTCTTTCATAGGAGGCATCCCACAAGGGGGCAGATAGTGGAAGATAATTGTCCAAATGCCAGGACTCCCAGTATATGGGGGAATAAGTCCCAATTCCTGAAGGCAGGATGTTGCATCATAAATACAGTACTGTACAATAGGTTGAAGTTATTTAGTAGTAGATTAGCAAATATGAAATGATACATACTATTGTAATTTTTCTTTTATTAAATGCTTAAGAGTGTGACAGTCCATGTATGTAGGTATTATCAGGATCTCAATCCTCACATTTGTTAGGCAAACACTGTACTGCAGAACTAAATCTTTAGCCCTAGGAAAATGATTATAAAATTTTTTCTCTGAAAGTTATAATTTTGCAAAGAGGGAGCAACCCCTTTTTAATCATTCCATTGTTTGGAGCATTTCTACTTAAGCTCAATTCATGCTGGTTTTCAATTTCTTCTAGAGGTCATCTGATGAAATCTATATAAAGATGTAGACAAACTAAACACAGATTAGTAACTGTGTTACTAGATACTGTTGTAGGGCTGTTGTGACAACTAAATATGATATGTAATGTTAGCTACTGTTACAAATGAACTTTTAAAAAATTACTGAAAAAGAAATACATCTTAGTGTTTTTGCAAATGGTCACTTATAATTGGAGATACAGTTTCCTGTATCAAACTTAGACTAATAGAGTTATATGTTAACTTTTTTTTTTCTTTGTTAGAATCTCACTACATAGCCCAGGCTGGCCTTAAACTTGTGGTCCTCCTGTTTCTCCCTTCTATGTGCTAGCATTGCAAATGTGTACCATCATGTCTAAGTTACTTTTTTATTTTTTGGTACTGGGGATCAAACTAAGGCACTTAGGCCGCTGAGCTAAATCCCTGGTCCTTGCCTAGGTTATCTTAAAACTGTTTAGATGGAAGTAAAGATGCACTGTCATGGAAGGCAGAATAATGGCATCTCAAAAGCATCCTCAGAACCTGTGTTTGTGCTAGTTTACATGTTAGAGGGAGTGAAGTTGCTAATCAGCCCATTTTAAGATTGGGAGAGTATCCTGGCTCACCCAGATGGGCTCAGGGCATTCACAGGAATCATTACCAGTAAAAGCCAGAGGCAGAAGAGTCTGTGCAGTGCTGTAGTATGAGACATTGCAACTGACCCTGCCCTGCTTTCAAGATTGGAAGAGGTCACAAGCCAGGAAATGTGTGCTGTTTCTAGAAGAAGAGCTTTCCTATTACCGAGAGCTTTCAAATGTGTAAGATTCATCCTGCACTTCTGTTTTTTTGTTGTTATTGTTGTTTTTTGTTTTTGTACTGGTTAAGAAACATTTGGAGACCATAGTTTGGGCTCCAGACGTGTTTATTGCCGCTGGGCTAGTCAATGTTTCTAGACATTTTATTTAAAAATTCATTTATGTATTTTGTTTTTAAAAACAGTGTCTCACTTTGTCATTCAAGCTGGCCTTATTCCTCAGCCTCCCAAGTGCTGGGATTACAGCATGCATCACCACACCCAGCCTCTAAGACCACTGCTGATGAATCTTTTAGAGACTGATTGCCCAAACCACAATCCCATTTATTTGTTGCAAAGTGCCAACACTGCAATTAAACCTGAATACTGAGGTTTTAGTTTAGAAAACACAACTCATACATTAATATATTTTTTTAAAAGAAAAGTACAATAATAGAGCTTTCAGTGATAAAAACAACTTTTTGTTTAAAGGTGAAAGTTTCCATTTGGCAAGCTTTTTGCACAATTAATGTGATTTTTTCTGTTGTATGCATGGTGATAATTTGTCAAACTATGGCCTGTGCTTTGCTTGCAAGCAGTACATGCAGCACTCAGGTCATCTGTTGGTCTGCTTCTTGTATCAGATTTGATATGATTCAAAGCTGAAAATGACTGCTAACAAACATAAGATGATCCAAATAAAGCAAGAAAAACAATCCCAAGTGCTTTCATTGACTTAAAATTATTTGACAGAGAATTCCACACTTGAAGGATTTAATTTTCATAATTACCAACTG